TCACAGCTCGTCTCTGAGAGGGGTCTGTGTCTGTCCTCTCTATACCTTCCCAACAGGTGGCTGAAGGCAGCGAGTGTGACACCAGGTGGCTGAGCACACATGGCCAGGGATCCTAAGGAAAAGTTTCCTAAAGATTTCCAGGCAGCTGAAAGCAGCTGAAGAGACTAAACATGCATGTAGCTGGGAGCTGCTGCCCAGTTGGGAAGCCCCAGACTAGATGTGCAGAAGGAAGCTCTTCATCTTACAAACATCACCAGCGTGCCACCTATAGCCAGGGAAGCAGAAAACCATGAAGTTATGAAAGACTGAAATCCACCTGCAAAGAGAATGGACAGAGCAGCTCTTTCAGAACCAAACCTTAATATTTTATCAACTAGCAAGTGACTAGAAGAATAAGTCAGAAAGTTTCTGCTAGTTGTAAATGAGTGACATTTCTCTTCATCTGCTTGTCTGAACCCTTTTAGCCTAAGCTTTTCAGTAGATGGTTCTCACTCTTAAGCCTATGAACTGGCAGTGAGCTTCTCATCTTCTGTGTGGCCTAAGTTCCTTCATTTGCATTCCTGTTCTGGTAAAACCTGTTAAGTTTTACTTTTGCCCACTCTGTAGAGGCATTGCCCATGGAAGATAGGAAAGGTAGTAAGTAGTTTTTAAATAATAAAAAATTAGCCTTAATTTTGTTTTGTAGCATCAGCCTCTATACTTCTTTTAGACAAATGAGAACTAGAACAAAAATCATTAAATTTTCTGGATCACTTACAAACCAAGCAAGAAAGCATTGGGATGTTAAAGTTATAGGAACATAATTTCTGCGTTATACAATAAGCTGGCTTCTTGTGCTTTAATTCTGAGTTGAATAACCTCACAGTTAATAGGATTACACATTATTCCAAGAACAAGAGCAGGCCAGTCTTACAGAAGTGAGTGAGCCAGCAAAAGGTATGCATCATTGCTCTCCTTTTCTCTTCTTTTGTGCTCTGTCATCATGTTCTGCACAAATGCAGCACTTAGAAACGTGGCCCCTCACCCACAGTTATTTTCTTTGGTGGCAGTAATATGGGAAGCAAACTCATCTATGACGTAAAAAAATAAAGGGTCGATCAGAACATGTCTCTGAGCAATAACCGGGGGTGTTCTTTTTCCATTTCATGCACCACAAACCTAAAATTTAAAAAAAAAAAAAAAGGAAAAATGTGTATGTCACCACATTAAGTATATTATATAGTCTTTTACTTTTTTTAAGTCTTTTACAGGTAGCTTATGTGCTTTGGGGATGGGAGCAAGGAATGCTCACATTCTTTCCATGGCCAGAAGTTAGCTTTTTGTTTATAGTGACCCTTTTGTGGCAAAAATGCTGCCAGAGACTCAGTCTGTTCCTACAGAGCAATTCTCAGCAGTGCAGTTGTCCTGCTTCATTAGTGTGCTGGGTAACTCTCAGTCTGGAGGAGTTATTACAGGAATCTTTGTTTTAGTCTAGTCAATCCAGCTTTCTCTGACTTCAGCTCAGCTGAAAAGGTTACAATTTTGGCTGCCTTCATCAGGTTTATCGTGGGTCAGAGCTAATTGCTGCCTCTCATGGCCAGGATCCTGCGTGACAGCACTCTACTCACTTCTCCAGTATTCTGGATTCTCTTGCCACTTTGCCAGACATGGGCAGACATCACTAGCAGTCCTATTTTGGTCTCCCCATTAAGTTGCGTGATTAGATCATAACCCATTACATCACTTATGCTCAGCAATGGAGCTGGCTCCCAGATTTGTATTCCCTGATATCTTCAGGCTGCTATTATGCCTATGGCAAAGCAGGAGGACAGGAACTCTCAGGAAATCTTCTTTGCACCAGAGTCTGGTGGGAGCACATATTCTACTCTTTCAGTTCTCTCCCTCTGCTCCTTTCTGCTTTCCTAACCTAACTCTAGTATTTTGGGTCATGCTCAGCAGGTTAGCAGAGAGTCGTGGACATATAGGTTCCTGCATGTCCATCCTGTAACTTTCTTGTGTCATATGAAGATGAGAAAACCTTCTTTGGTTTATTCCAATTTTTTTATTCCCCAATAACAGTAGAAAGGATGCACACTGAAGAAAAGATTTCCTACCACTTCCTAGTTGCCCTGGAAACATTTGTCTAAACTTGAATCTTAAAACACCATTCTTCAGAGAGATCGCTCCCTGTCTCCTCAAACCAGGCATCCCTCAAGAGCACTTCCCTGGATGGCACATGAAAGCAGCAGCTTCCATTTCCAAAAATTCTGCTTTAAAGCTACTGCCTGGTTATTCCTCATACTAGCCATCAAACTGTACTTATTTCAAACAGATATGTGTCTACACAGGTATTTTCTTAATATTCTTCATTCTAGGGACATACATGAGAAAGTACACTCCCAGGAGTAACAGGAGTAGGTAAGAATCCCACACAGTAAACATAAATTATTTGGCTCTATTTCTCAAAATTCACTGCAGCTATTTGTGATTCAATTCTGTGCCAGAGTGAGGGAGTCACCGTTAGGTTCAGACAAATAATCGACCCTTTGACCATATTAAGGACCAGCCACATTTGTTATCACTACACAAAGGTACAATTTTGGCGTTCACATGCTCTGCATTAAACACAGGTGAACATAGAGAATAGGCACACCTTACTGCCATCACACACTAGCCAAACATCCACTCACAACATCCTGTGCTGCTGTAGGGAATCGGTGGGCCATCAGCTGCCTTGAGCTTTCTAGTACATTGCAGGCCCTTCCTTACAGTTTTTTATTCACCTATTGGGGTGATGCTGTTTAATTTCCTTCTGGAATGCAAATTGCTCGCCATGTTAAGCACCTTTTTATGTTTGCCGCTGATCTTTCTGCCGTCAAAAAATATGATAGGATCAAATACAGTAATAACAAGCCTCAGCCAGTAATTAGCAAGACAGAGTTAATCAGTTTATGTTGTTATTTTGCCCTTCCCATTGTCTTAATCCAGCCAGTCTCTGTTCCTGCTCCCCTGCCAGAAAGTGTGATGTGTGTTTTGGCTTTTCTGTATGGCGCAATGCAGATCTATAACCCTGTACAGAAACATTTTATGGCGTGAATATGTGTAACCATGAAGAACGGCAGTCTCTGAGGTTAATGGGGTAGTAGAAATGAGATGTAAATAGTTACTGAAGTGAATAGGTGGAATTGAAGGGTTTTTTCCAAATTGCTGACTCAGACAGACTGTACCTATGCAGATCTTCAAAAGCACAGGCTCTACATGCTTTGCATAACTGGAAATGGATTCCGAAGGCATTGTTTATATAGATTTATATGACAAATGAGATTTGCATATTAATTGAGAGTTAAAAATTATTCAGTCTCTTCAAGACAAATACTTCCACATTCAATAATTAGAAAAACAGAGGAGAAACGGGAGCAGGCTTGGAGTTGGGACCTGCATCCACACATCCATGTAGCTTATCTAAAAAAGCATAGTTTGTCATTTCTAGTAATGATTCATCCTGCAAAGTGGAGGAAGTATTTTCTTCTTAAAATAAGAGATGGAGGGACTGTTTTGTTCTTTAAATAACAGTTGTATCGATTTGTATGAAAGCAAGTTCATGGCTTTACAGAGAGCAGGGGATGGATAAGAAAACAACCTAAGTCAAATATTACCAGTGAAAGACAGTAATGTGGCTTTCTTTCCTTTTTGGGTAAAGAAGAAAAGAGAGAAGGGGATTGCCTGCTTGTTTATTTCATTTTATTTTAGTGTTTCCTATATATATGGAAGTGACCTAACCCTGTCAGCAGTCATTTTCCATGCTTGAGTTACCATGGTGTCGACTGTATCTTCAAGAAAATGTAAACAGTTTTGAAACTGAAATGTTCATTTGGAGGAAGTTCGTTAGATAGTTGTCTATATTTGGACTCCAGATAGACTTCTTTAACTACTGAGTTTCAGTAAGTTTCAGTTTTTTACCTTAGAATCACATGAATAAAACCAATGTAGTTGGATACTGTGATGTGATTTTAACATCATTAGTGGCCCGTAGACTCTCGAGTGAAATTTTCCAAGGTGATCATTTTGAAGCCAAGATTGTGCCCCAAGTCAGTACTGAATGCCAGTTGTGTTCACTGGAAGCATAATGAGTCAAATAGCACATTTGTCACTCCCTCCCCCTGTCCACAAACTGAAATCACTGTCTTAGAAAGGGCTCATTGTCAATGATTAGTTGAGGAAGAATAGTGTAGTGAGAGTGTACAAAAAGTACCCTGGCAAAATGCTTAATGCCACATAAGGAACAGAAAAGTCCTGGCTTCATTTGTTTCTCAAAGGAACCTTACCTATAATTAGGTTGCTAGCAAGTAATCTTTCTAAATCTGCTCTAAAAACAACACTGAAATGACTTTATCACATATGAAACATGCTCTTTTAAGAATATTCTTCCATACTATGTTTTATCTCAGATAGCAGGAGCTTAAGAAAAGTGGATGGTCTGAGATGTTTTGCTGTATGTGCCATTGTGTTTGGGCAAAATTGTGTATATCAAGGATTCCAACATCAGCTCCAAAAACGTTTTCTGGAGTAGTTCTTTCTTACACCGTGTTTCACAATTCATCTAAGACTGTGATTGTGACAGAGTTGCAGCACTGAACTGGTAGTGACAGCTGTAACGTGCTCTACCTTTATTTTTCCTGATGATTTTGCAAATGTTAAAGAAAGAAAAGAAAAAAGAAAGATCTGTTGAACTTTTGGCATAAAACTGTAGCTGCTGCTGTAGCTAGATTGCTGCTGAGTGTCTAGGTGATAAAAGGCTTCTCCCACGCCTGCCACTCCGAACAACACTATTGTCAGGAAAATATATGCATCTTTTTCCAGTAAGAATAAGGAGTGTGATAACATTAGCATTTAGACAAGACACTGAGCGATGATTGTGAAATGCATTAATGGATGTGTCACTATTTTAAAAGAGCACATCTAATGGATTGTTTATATGTGCCATCTCATTGTACTTATTTATTTATTTTATAGGATATTTTAAACATAAAATCTCACAGATCAAAGTAGAACTCTCCTGTGACCTGTTCATCTCAAGGACCTGCATTCAACAGAACCTATCCCAGTTGCCAGCCAGTCGTGTATACCACTGGAGGAAAATGGACACACTGAACAGCCACCACTTTTTGTACTTTCTGCCTACCACACGCCTTGTCATCATATTAGCAGCTTTGACAACTGCTGAGGATGTGACTAACAGCACTTTGAACCGCACTGACACGAGCACGGGATCTGTGCCTGAGGTGATCTTTCGCATTGACCATGTTATAGTCAAGGAGGGTGGTAGTGCCTTGATCGACTGCAATGTCCAAGGTAGTCCTAGCCCACGTTACAGATGGTACAATTCCAATGGACACCTGCTCCAGGAGGAGGAGAATAAAGGTAAGGTCTTAGGATTTTCACTGATGTAGCCTATCCGGAGACATTTGTGATCTCAGCAAGTTGACAAATAACCTGAATTTAATGGCCTGGCTGTGGTATTTTCCTGTGTGAAAATATATGAAAGCCCGGTGGCAGCTATAAATTTTTTATGTGCACCTTGGAAGAAAACAGTAACTTTTTAATGTGTTATTTATAGCAACACATAGCAAGAAGCTGAAGAGCTTAACAGAAGGTGTAGACAGGCTTCTTTTCATTGGAAGACTTCAGGTTTGATCCTATTTCTCATTCTGTCCTCTTTTGTTCTTTTCTGGCACCAAAAATAAGATTAAAAAGCTATTTTCTAGTTCAAGGGAGGATTCTCATGACATATGAGAATCATTTGTTGGCATGAACTCAACACAGCTAACTCCCTGATATGCCTGCTGTCTTTATGCGTAGTGCCATGGGAGTGTGAGAAACAGGAGATGCCCTGAATGACCAAGTGTAAAACCTATATAGGGCAGCAGTCAGAGGGACGGGCCAAGTCTGAGCCTTCCTGGCTTTGGTTAAGACTCTTCAGTGGCATTTGCTAGAGACCTTAATAACACATGAGCTTATTTTCCTTAAATGGAAGATTTGGGTGATAATCCTACTTATACTTCTAGGGAGTGTTTGAGGGGAATGTGGGTATATGGAAGGTGGTTTGCTCATGTAATCCTTCCATACTAACCGCTTTGTTCACAACGTGATGAAATGAACTCTTATATATTATTACATGCAAGATAGCGTGCCTAACTAGTGGCTGACCTGACAGAGAACTCTGCTATGACACGAGTAATGATTGACCCAGCTGGATGTGCAAGAGCATAGTGTTATCTGCAATGCTTACTGCATAACGGGTTATATTTTACATTACAGCATTTTATCATTTTCTGAGTAAAGCTAGAGAATGGAACGACTTGAGCTAGTAAGCAAACATTCAGACAGGATTTGTGTGCTTGTGGCAGCATACAGCGATTAGTGTGCTAGAGTGTTTTACTAAGGCTCACTAACAGAAACTTTCCCCTTTATTTAAGACCTCTTTAGGTCTCTGTATAGCCAGCTGAGAGAGGTAGCTACTAACACAAACATTTAGATAGGTGAGCAAAAGCTTTGACCAAATCAGTTGAAATTGCAGATGTAGTATTAAGAAAACACTTGAATTTAGGATTTCAGCCATGCCCTACCTCCTTTAAGAAGCTGTCTTCCTGTAAGAAACGTTTCCTAGCATGAGACCTTTCTTTACTGTGTACATAGTTATATTAATGATGCCATTGAATTGTTATCAAAACCTAACAATGATACCTTTTCTAATCATTGTGTTCTTATTTGGCTTATACTCTCTGCTAGGATTCACTGGCACAGACCCAGTCATTGAGTCACAGTTCAATGCCATTGTGTCATTTATAACAGCTGGAGCCAGGGTACATCAGCAAGGCCTCGTGTAATTTCACAATTAATAAACACTTACTTTGCAAAAAGGAGCAACATTGCAGTTCAAAGAAATACTAAGCAGCCAAATTCTGTATTTTTTCTTATTCTAGAGATGGAGAAAGAAGTGTCATCTGGTACGTTTCCTGACATTTCCTCTGTAAGGAGTTTACCTCTGAATTTGCCTAACTTTAGCAGATTGGGTTGATTTTTTTCTGTGAAGGTCTGATTTAGATGACGCTTTTTATTTATTCTGTATTTTTGAATTTCAGGCAAAGCTATTCAGCTGTTTTCAAGAATTATGCTAGAGTAAAAGAATAGTGTTTCAGTTAAGTTAAAACTTCTAAGTAAGAGGATAAAAAGATGTAATTAAGAGCTGTCTGTACACAGGAACTGAGGCAGGGGTCTTGTGGGAATACTTTCTACATAGGCATCTACTGCAGATAATGTAAAAAGACCAATTTGGATAAGCCATGTTTAATTAGAAAAACTTTGAACATGGTAAAAGCCCATAACTACTCTGAATTAAAGGCTTTTTTTGACTAATGAGTTTCAGAATTGCCCACATATTTGTCTTGAAAGAAATAAAAGAAAAAAAATAGAACAATCATTTTAACAATGAAGAAAGGTCCATGCAAAGGATAAAATAAATGCAGAAGCAAGGTGTACATCAACCTGTGAAATGACTGCATTCCTTGCCTTGTGATTTACATGCATTGCACAGGAGTTTTGTGCTGGTTTAGTCCTCTCATCACAGATTCTTTGTCTTTGCTCAGCTGCCGTAATAGAGTTAAATAGCAACTGGTTAGGTTAGGTTTAAGGAATAACAACTTTCTGGTGGTCAAGACAGGTGAACACCTGAAATTCCTTCCTGTGGAAGGATATTAAAATTCCATTACTACCTTCAGCAGACATATGTCAGGAATGGCTTGGGATTGTGTTACAGAAATTGAAGGCAGTGGACTCTGCCTCTGAGGAGCACTATGTGCAAGATGATCTTGTTGGCTGACATGAGCCTATGTCATTGTTTTAAAAGAAAATCACCCATATGACATCTCCCTGTATGAAGTGTTCAGAAGGCACAGAGACACTCCACTTTCTCTCTGTTCTCCACCATGTGAACACTTCCAGGAGTGGGTTAATGCGAAGAAAAAAATTGACACCAGGCTGTCCTGTTGGAGCCGAATCATGTTTTGTTATAGCAAAGTTGCAATTTAATAAGTCATATCACACTGAACAAATCAAAACAAATATACATGCTCAGCTGTTAAATGGTGTAGTGATCTTTGAACAAAAGTGAAGTTCTCTTGAGGAACTAAAAATCTATTTCATTACCAATGTATAATGGCAAGCACAGTAGCTAGCTGAATCTTGAATCACGTTAGCAGTGATAGGAGTGATGGATTTTAACACGTTGTTTCAAACTCAGTTTCATAGCTAAACTGTTCTGCTGTGTCAGGTTCAAAGGATATGAAATGTACATAGTAGTGGCCAAAATTATCAATTCTACTACACTGATAGAAATTACTTTTAAAAGTAAAAGCGCTTCCATCAGGGTGTGTAGAAGTTCATACTGGCAAA